TTTTAAATTTGTTATCATTATTAAAATATTATAAATTATGATATAATTAAATTATACAAAGTTAGATTTTAATCAGTAATTTTATAATTACATTAAATATTAAATGTTCTTCTTAAAAAGTACAATTAAAAAGTTTTAAAATGAATCTTCTGATTTTATATATAAAATTACTGTAAATTTATTGACTTTTTATAACTTTTAAAAAAATTAATCTAAAAAAATTATCAAATATATTTAAAAAAAAAAAAAAAAAAAAAAAAAACTATGAAACACAATCTCAAACGCAATTCGATTAAAATGAGCAATAGCTACCGTTTGGGATGGGCCGTAATCGACTTGACCCGCATGTATAATGGGCTAGTTGTGGTTCTGGTTCTGGGCCTGCCCCTGGCCCAGACTAGAAATGAAAGGAGAAAAATAAAAAAATAAAAAAAATAAAAAAAGGGGTCAACCCTTGACCCCGCCTTGTACAAATTAGGATTAGAATCAGGCCATCAAGCACAGGAAGGAAGGAAAGGGTTCTTCTGTTTTTGCTCCTGAAGTCCTAGTACTTTCAGTACGTCGGTACTTACGACTTCGGCCTGGTACTGATGCAGCCTCAATGTTCCTGGACGCGAACCCATGCTCAGATGCTTAGACCTCTGTCCCATAAATGCTCCGTTTTCTCTGAGCATTGGCTAAAGGCTGCTCATTCTCATTCTCATTCTCATTCTGTTCGGAGAAGCCACAACCGTCCCACTTTCAGGGCTACGATGTCCACCGTCCCTACTCGGAAAGAGTCCCTTCCGGCTCAGGACGGCTCTTCCCAGAAAGCCCCTCAGCCGTTACAGGTATTTCCCCGTTTATCTTGATCTATTTCTGCGGATTGGTTTTTGTTTTCGGGTCTGGGAAATCTGGGGCGTTTTAATGTGGGTTTGTTTGGAATTCAAATGGGTGTACCCACTTTCTTGATTCAAGTTTCGATCTTTATGCCTCTTTAAGTTTTTATTTGGATTCGATTTTAATCCTCATTATCCGAACGGAAATTTCACTTGCTTTCGCTTCATTTGGGGGAAGGGGGATTGGTTTTACAGCTTCATTTGGTTCTTGGTTTACTTAAATTACTGCAATTGCATTGTTCTGTTTGAGCTTTCAAGTTTCTCTCTTGTTTGCAATTACAGCAGAAATGGCCGCCTAATGTTTCCATGAGATGAATTAATCTTAACACTGAATTGCTGTTATTATAAGCAATTTTGTGGCTGCCGATGCGCAATTGATTCAGAGTTTCAAATTTGTTTAATTTGGTTATGGTGTACCTCCAAAATTATGGAAATACTTTAATTTCATTACAGTGTAACTCCAGGTCATAAACTCTTATGCTGAAGATTTCAATCTTTTGTCCACTCGACTAATTTATTTGACCTCTAAATGGGTAGAAAAACAACAAATATACAAGTTCCTTCCTTCCTATATTCAAATTTCAGATGTTCTATCTTCATAAGCTCATGACAGTTTATTCACTGGTGGAGCTGGAACTGCGTTGTCATATTATTTCTAGCATTAGGAATTGGTGAAAATCCTCCTTAGTTTGGCAACTTAACAATAAAATTAGGGTGTGTTTGGTATAAATGAATTCCACAAAAAAGTATGGAATTCATTTCTAATTAAACATCCTTATGTCTGGTATGATTAAAAACTTTTTGTTTCGATTCTAGACCTTTGTGTTTGGTTTGATTAACATTTGGTGGAATTTGAATTCATTTGCATACCAGACACACCCTTAGTCTTGGGATGCCACTGCCTATCTTTTTCACTCTGGCCATGACTATTGCCTGCTTTATTTAGGGTATAAGATTTTACTTATTCTTGTTTATTTCCATATTTCCTCATTTCTTCTCAAAAATTGATTTTTTGAAGCAACAAAAGATTCTTCAGTCTTACTGGTGTCTTATGTGAAGTAAAAGTAATGGAAGTGTAACTAAATGTTGCACGTAATCTGATTTCCTCTCAATGATAAATAATAAAATAGCAAGCAACTTTTTCATTCTAATAGTCTTTTCTGTTTTGTCAGGTTGCAAAACGCTTAGAGAAGTTCAAAACTACAATTTTCACGCAGATGAGTATGCTTGCCATCGAACATGGAGCAATAAATCTTGGCCAAGGCTTCCCCAACTTTGATGGTCCAGAATTCGTAAAGGAAGCTGCAATTCAAGCCATCAAGGATGGGAAAAACCAGTATGCTCGTGGACATGGGATTCCAGAGTTCAATGCTGCCATTGCTGAACGCTTCAAGAAGGACACTGGACTTGTGGTTGACCCTGAGAAGGAAGTTACTGTTACATCTGGGTGTACTGAAGCTATTGCTGCAACTATATTGGGCTTGATAAATCCGGGGGATGAGGTGATCCTCTTTGCTCCTTTTTATGATTCTTATGAAGCAACACTGTCAATGGCTGGTGCCAAAATAAAAGGCATCACATTGCGCCCTCCAGATTTTGCTGTTCCAATTGATGAGCTAAAGTCCACAGTCTCAAAGAATACTCGTGCAATCCTCATAAACACTCCACACAATCCCACTGGAAAGATGTTTACTCGAGAAGAACTCAATGTCATTGCATCTTTGTGCATTGAGAATGATGTGTTGGTTTTTACTGATGAAGTTTATGACAAACTGGCTTTTGAAATGGATCACATTTCTATGGCATCCCTTCCCAGTATGTATGACCGCACTGTAACAATGAATTCTTTGGGGAAGACCTTCTCCTTAACAGGGTGGAAAATTGGGTGGGCAGTAGCTCCCCCACACTTGACTTGGGGAGTAAGGCAAGCACACTCATTCCTCACCTTTGCTACTTCCACTCCAATGCAGTGGGCAGCTTCAGTAGCACTTAGAGCCCCCGATTCTTATTATGTGGAGCTGAAGAGAGATTACTTGGCAAAGAAGGCAATATTGGTGGAGGGGTTGAAAGATGTTGGTTTCAAGGTATTCCCATCAAGTGGAACATATTTTGTGGTTGTAGACCACACCCCATTTGGACTTGATGATGATATTGCTTTCTGTGAGTATTTGATCAAGGAAGTTGGGGTTGTGGCAATCCCAACTAGTGTATTTTACTTGAATCCTGAAGAAGGAAAGAACTTGGTGAGATTTACCTTCTGCAAAGATGAAAGAACTTTGAGGTCTGCAGTTGAGAGGATGAAGGAGAAGCTCAGGAAGAAATGATAAAAAAAAATATGTATTGATTTAGATCATCCAAGTGCTGTTTTATGTCATGGGATTTGGTGTTCTAATGCCAATCGCATGGTACTCCAAGTAATTGTTGTTCTTCCAAACCCATCTTAATATATGCTAGGGGTGTCATCTCTTGTTTCCATCAAAATTTGTCATTCCCCAAGTCTTTGAATTGTAGGAAATAGTTGTGGATGTTACTCGATCCCATTAATCAGGGGAATTATGAGCTCATAAATTTCAATTCATGTTATTGTTTCTATCTTCAATACATGAATGAAGGATAATTATATGTACTGGGAAACAGATCGTTTGGTCTTGTCTGAACTGAAGGCTGTCTTGTTGATTATTCAAGACGCAACTAGCTGTCTGAATTCATATATTCAGAATGCTTGTACACACGGTTTCCAATTAATAAAATCCCATTTATGATTGTGCCTTCCTTTTTTTTAATTTCCCCTCTCTGCAAACTGTTACCACTTCCCTTGTTTCATGGACATGGCTCAGCAGTGACTTGTGCAATTATAATCAAAGCATCCTTTCCATTGTTTTGTGAAAGTTAGGCTAGGCCCTTAGCATCAACATGGAGTTCACCACGTCGCAACATACTTTGTGGTAGTTGGATTTGCCTTCATGCATAACTAATGCATGAAAATTAACCCAACAAGAAGACACATGTAGTAGAAGGAAAACATCTAATAATTATCACGAGTTTAGTCGAGTTACTATATATTGTTATTTTTATCCTAAAGTTGAGGTTTCAAATTCGTGTAATCTGTACCGTTCTATGTGGAGACTCTTTGACTGCTTGATCTAACTTTCTGGAGCCGACCCAACGTTTTACATGACACTGCCGTCCAGTTTGAGGACAACTACTAGAAACCAAAGATTTTATTTAAAATGTTTTTTTTTTGGACAGAATAATGATGGTGAGGTAGGCCATTCCAGGCACATTAATTTGTAATCATATTTTTATTTGAACAGTGATGTGAATCCAATGACATACGTATTTGCTGATCGAAGGATAAGAAATTGAGGAGCATGCTTTGCGGCTGTGAAAATCACTGGTTGAAAATGTACCTAACTTGTTTATTGGTTTTTTCTTTTTTAATAATATATAATATTTGACCCAATTATTATTAATGTGAGTAAAAGAAACTTGATTTTTTTAAAATAAAATTTTAAATTTAAATTTTGTGAATAAAAAAATAAGTGTTAAAAAATATTTTTTTAAATGAGATTCAGTACAGTTTGATTTCAAATTAATTAAAATTTAATGTAATTATTAAATATTAAAAAATTAATAAACAAATATAATATTTGAAAAAGGAAAAGGAGATGGGTTGAAACCCGACCAATAAATCTAAATATTTAAAATATTGGGACAAATCATTAAAATCCCAAAGTTAAGTTCAATTTGTTTATTGTTTTTAAACCACAAAAGAAATAATAATAGTAACAACCGTACACTTAGTAAACATCGATCATTTCAAATATTCAGAAGGGTTAACGTAACTGAACCTAATAAAAATACTACACTTAACGGCACTTTTTTTTTATCAACTTAAGTAATTTTGTTTTTATAGACTTTAAATTTGAATAGAATAATATATAAATTAGGTAGAGTAAAAAAATAAAAAATTTATTTTTTATTTTATATACAAGCTAAAATCAAAAAAGAAAAGCAATGTATTTACTAATTTAATGTTATATTTACACTAAAAAGTTATTGAATAAAATAAAATTTTTATGTTCTATAATGTGAATTTTAAATTGTATTATTAACAAAATAAGAATCATTAAATGAAATATTGTCTTACTATCAAAAAAAGATCCAAAAGGAAAATAGTTGATAAATTCTATAGTCCAACATATCTCTCAATATACATTTATTCAGTCATTAAATTTTATAATTAAAATTTTTATATTAAATTTAAATTTAAAAATAATAATTTTTTAATAAAATATATTAAATCAAAAAAATATTAATTATTATCTTATAAAAACAACTTATCTCATTTAATATTTTTTTTTGTGTTGATTGCATAACAAGAGACAATTTTTATCTCACATCACTCGTATATCATACGATTAAAATTCAAAATTTTTTATTTTTAATAAAAAAATTATTACTTAATTATTTATATGGTTGACAATAATTTAAACTATGTAATCAAATAAAATCTTAGCTGAAATGTAGAATCGGATAGAATAAAACATTGTTAAAGGTCGTATATAACAGTGTAGTTTTGTCATGTGAGTATCATCACTGGAAGATCCAAAAGGAGAAGGAGATTATCCTTTACCCACGTGGTGTCCCCTCCATCACACGTGATCTTAAGCTGGACCCCAGTCATAACTTCAAGATAAGCTAATAGCCGTAGGATACTAAGATCAAAGGGTGTAGGCGGTCTGCGAAACACCATGGACATTGGTACAGGGGAAGGGGAGGATGCTTTTGTCCCTTTCATCGTGAAGTGCTAACCTAAGCCTATCTTTCTAACCTTTTTCTTTGAATGGATCAAATAGATTAGTTGTAAGCGTTTGTTTGTTTATTTTTCTTTAATAATAGGATTCGAGTTACTTACAACTTTTATAAAAAGTGATAAAGAAAAATCTTTGTAAAAGCGTTGAATTATAAAATAAATAAAATAATAACATTAATCTAGTAAAATTTATTTAAATTTTAGAGTTTAACTATAAAAATTTGATGGCATATTTAGTTGAATAGAATGGTTATTTATTGATTAAATTATAAAAATAAGATAAATTAAAAAATTAATTATTCTTTAAAATTAAAAACAAATAGATACTTAGAAGGAAAAGGTATAATGTTGTGTGGGTGTGTGTGCCACGTGTGTTTTTTTTTTTAGATTTTATCTAAATAAACATATAGTTTTTTTAAAAAATTTTAATTAAGGATATGTCATTTTTTCTTATTATTCACAAATATCGTTATATTTTAAAAGTTTTTAATTAAAAATAAAAAATTTATAATTTTAGTAAAAAAGAATTAAATAGATATGTACAATTATATTCTTTTTTTTTTAAACATGCATGTGCACAACTATATTTATAATTAAAAATTTTGGAAATATGGTAATAATTGGGTACTTATTTGTACAAAATCTCCCTTTTTTTTCAATAACAATGCTGTAATTTAAGAGTTTTCACAAATAGATATTTTTTTTTTATAATTTTACATGTAAATTTGATTTTTGAGTCAATTTATTACTACAGTAGCACTTGTGACTTTTTTTTTTTTTTTGGAGTCAAATTATTACCACACAAGGACACTTTGGTAAAAGTAATGAATTAAAATTAGCCAAACGGAGCCTTGAATGGTAGTACTAAATTTAAATTAAAAAAACAGTGGAGGCACGTGCCGGCCTCCCTGACTGCCACTGAAACGCGAAAAACGGACCGAATCTAGATCCGACGACCATATCTTCCCGTCAAGACCGGGAGTTTCCCGTATTGAATCCAACGACTACGGTGCTATCTCTTCTCTCCACCCTACGATCCCCATCCAACGGTCCAGATTGAATCCTTCACCTTCCCCAATTACACAATAAATAATCAAGTCCGGTCCACACCTCTCGCTTCACACTCTCCTTTTCTCTTTCTCTTTCTATCTCTCTCTCAAAAAAAAAAGAAAGTACTTTTCCGATTTCTCTCTCCGGTGGTCTCAGTCCTGCTAACGTGCGCCGGTATCGGCGGTGCGTCGGACTTAGGGTGTTTCCTGAGATGTCTCCGGCGGCTTCGCGGACGACGGTTGTCATAAGGATATCTCGGTATAGGCGGGCCCAGTAGAAAGTAAGGGAAAACGGAAATCAGACGTCTGAAGGATTTTGAGTTGTGTTGTGGGACCTAACGTAAGAATGGACGGCCAGAAAAGTCAGGTGAAGCTCACGAGAACTCAGTCGTCGCTTCTCCGGTCGTCGCCGACCATCCGATCGTCCATCCACAGCCTCGAAGGTGGTGACAGTAGTAGTAAGCCTCTGCTTAAAGAAGAGGAAGGGGAAAGAGACCCGGAGTCGTTACTGAGAGAGGAGAAGAGGAGAAAGCCCTTGAACAAGTACGGGTCGACTCCGAGAATCGTTGTGACTCGGTTCAACCGGGTGCTGGCCATGGTTTCGATCTCCTTCTTCTTCCTTTTCTCTCTCCTTTTGTTCTTCTTCTTCTACATCAGAAGAGAAGAGATACCCACATCGGAAAACCTTCTGCTTGCCCTTACTTTTGTCGCCATCACTCTGTTTTTTGCTAGCAGAAACAAGTCTCTCATAAACCGAAGGTTTGCTTCTTGCAAACTAACATGGGACGATTACGCAAAAAGACTCGGCTTTCACTCATCTAACGCTAGTACAAAACCGGTACAGTGGTTCATCGGGGAAAACAGAGTTTGCAAGAACACCAAGGAGAAGCAGAAGAAGTTGGTGAGAGAAGGGGTGGAATTCTACAGTAATGGTGATTTTTACGAGGGGGAATTTCACAAGGGGAAGTGCAATGGAAGCGGGGTCTACAACTACTTTGTGAATGGAAGGTACGAAGGGGACTGGGTGGATGGAAGGTATGATGGGTATGGGGTGGAGAGCTGGGCCAGGGGGAGTAGATATAGAGGGCAGTATAGACAGGGTTTAAGGCATGGATATGGGGTTTATAGATTCTATACGGGGGATTCGTATGCCGGTGAGTGGTGCAATGGGCAGAGTCATGGGCTTGGTATGCAGACTTGCGCAGACGGCAGCTGTTACATCGGAGAGTTCAAGTGTGGGGTTAAGCATGGACTTGGCTGCTACCATTTCAGGTATAACTTCTTTCCCTCAAGTTGCCTTGACTCACCTCTTGATGAATTAAGATTAAGGTTTATGTTATTGATTTCACAAATTCAAGTCCCTTAATGAATTAGGGCTCTGATTTAGTATCCTTGATCTGTTCATGACTGATTAATTTATGCCAAGAGAGGAATTTGATTTGTCTAGAGATTTTCTTCTTCAAAGATTAGTACTTTGTGTTTGTTTAATTATGTGTTTAATAGCTTAGTTTCATGTTAATAAGGTAAGGAGAATTATTTGTTTAGGGAATTGAATTTGAATTTCTGGGTTTTGGAAACTGTATTGTTCTGTAGAAGTGATATGGTAAGTTGATTTCTGTATTACAGGAATGGAGATAGATATGCTGGAGAATATTTTGGGGACAAAATACACGGGTTTGGTGTTTATCATTTCACTAATGGTCACTATTATGAGGGATCTTGGCATGAAGGTCGCAGGCAGGGATATGGCATGTATGCTTTTCGTAATGGTGAGACAAAATGTGGTGAATGGGATGCCGGCGTCCTTAAGACACCTCAATCTCCACTAACTGATGCAGTAGTTCGGGCAGTTCAGGTAACTTCCTTTGGGATTGATGTTTTAGTCTCTGGTTTTAACATTCTTTATTGGAGATACTACTTAAAACAGAAGTGTTCAATTCCTTAATTTCATTAATTTGTTGCAGGCTGCTAGAAGAACAGCAGAAAATGCAATCAGCCTCCGCCGGATTGATGAGCAGGTGAACAAGGCAGTTCTTGCTGCAAACAGGGCAGCAACGGCTGCTAGAGTTGCTGCTGTCAAGGCTGTTCAGAACCGGATGGATGGTAAATTTTGTGATACGGAATGTCTAAGGGATTAGCTTATGGTCAAAATGTAAATTCTTTTACTAATTTTTATGAACTTGAAGAGGTCACCCCAACGAGCAAAAAGCTCATCGGAGGTTGAGAGAGCATGTTTGAGGTCCATTTTATCACTTCACACCACAACTTGTATATAGATCATGTAACCTGTATATCAATGGAAGACGAGTTTTTCAAGGGGTTTTTTTTCCCATCCTTTATTGATGCAATCCCATGTGTCTAGTGTGTGGGGCTGATGATTCAAGTAGGGTGTAATTATTTTGTTTTGCGATGCAATAATGAGATCGTAGCTTTTATATCCATGCTGTCTCTTGTACCATGATTGGAGGATATGATCAATGACACCAGGTCCCAACATGGATGTCTTTATCTCCAAATTTTATGCCTTCATCTCTACTATTGGTTATGAATGCATGGTTTGAAGGACATTAACTATATGGAAATGATTCATGGATAATGTTTATTAATAACATTTGTCGATGAGATATGGCAATATGTCTTTATTCATCTGATACCATGCGACCATCATCAATAAATATTGTTAGTAAATCATTGTCGCCAAAATTTAAACTTTAACGGAGCATTAGATCAAACATAGAACTTCTTTGCTTGGATTGATTAGCAAAGATTCTAAGAGAGTCGGACAGAGTGTTTTTTGGTTTTTTTGAAAGGCAATCGGACAAAGATTTTAAAATTACATTCCCAAGTTCATGCCTTTATGGGTATCAATGCGTACTTGCTTTCTTCCCCCGTCTGGACAAAGAACTTTTGTGCTCATATAGCAGAATGCCGTGAAGATGAGAAAAACCTAGACTCCACCACCATCACATTTTGCGGTTGCTATCACCACCAAAAATAGCTACCATCTCTTCACTGAATTAGCAATCTTCAAAAACTCTTTAATTAAATAAAATTTTGGTCCAAGCATTTAAGAGCTCGAACTTCTAATTTGAGAAGAGTTTGGAAAGTAGAGGATAATTTTTATTATAAAATTTAAACTATACAACATTTATCATTAAATGAGAAGTAAATTTCTTAATATTTGAAGTTGTCCATCCATTTATTAACCCATATTTTATAATTTAAATTGTAAAATAAAAATTCTTTTGTTATATAATTCATCATGGACTATACATGACTAATCCATAATAATAAGAAGCCATGTGCCTTGAGTCTCAATGTAGGATAATGTTTGGATAGCAGCGCATGAGGTGGGCGTGGTGAGCAGGTGAAAACACTTCAACTTTTCTTGCATGCTGGATCGGTGGATCCACAATCTCTGTTCCATCCATTTTTAAAATCTAAGAAAGAAGTTTTTCCTTTTCCTTTATTCATTTGAATTTTGAAATCCAGCTTGATTCCCTTCTACCAAGATTGGATTCATAGCTTGCTTGAAACTCCCAACCTCCCCACATGCAATTTCACAAACTAGAAAAGTTCTCTTGGATCTTTTGGGGTTATATGTTGAGGTGGTGTCTTCTGCTATCTTTTTTGAATAGGACTCTTTGCAGACTTATTATTCTAATTAAGGAGATGATCCTCCATGTAACAAATGGTGCCATATTCAATATAGAGAAATGCTGTAGGACTGAAAAGGATAGATAAAAACATAAAAACAAGCGAATACATTGTATATCAAACTACAAGATTTTTATGAGTAAAAGAAGTGAATCATAATAGTTCTCCCTTTACTTTGAAAAAGTCTTTTCTTCCAAACATACTAACTCTAGGGGTGTAATAATTTCATTAATAAGTATTCAAATTGTTCTTTGTTTGTGTATGTAATGTCGTGTAGCATGTTCTTGTACGTCAATAAAATTCCATTTTGGCTAACATTATTGGTTAGTCTATGATTTAAATATGGTAAGGTTTATCATTTGGTTGGCCTAGGAGGGTGCAATCTCTCTAAGAACAGTGTGATGACTTCTAATTAAAATCTCAAACCCTTCATTTTGAATTCTTGATATGGTCAAATCCTGTTTCTCGGGGCTAACTAAGTCTGCATTAAATGCTTTACTCCAAAGCAAAAGCCCTAAAAAATTACTAACTCAAAGGCATATATTTATTTGACAGAGTGATTTTGCAGTTTTGATTCTGTACTCTGCTTGGCTTTTGCGATAGGGGAGAGGATCCTAGAAAGCATATGGGGGGATTTTGCAAAACAAAATAAAAGTTGGACCTAATTTTTTAAACCTGAAAAATAATAATACATAGACAGTGAGAAGGCATGCTTTGCCCCGTGTGCTTACTTCCATATTTGTCATTAGATATGAGCATTTCACGGTGTTTGTCTGTTAGCACTTCTATTTAAATAAAGTTGAAATCACCATTTAAGTTTTTATCTCACCATGAGATACTATTGGAATTGGTATTAACTTCTCAATGCTTTATATAGAAAATATAAGTATTAGGTATTTGCTCTTTGTCCAGAGGTCAAAATGGAAAACCATCAAAGTCACTTTCCAATTTTAACTCGTGAATTAAATTATTAAGCTGGAATATTGGCTTTGAAAATAAAACCATTAGGGGAAAAGGAAAAGGTAAAATATATAACATATCAGTTACCAAATTTTGAAACTATTTTCATTTTGTCTATCCAACTTTTAACTTTCTTAAGTAGCTCGTTCATTCTCATTGATTTTAATTCCTTCAGTTCCCTAGGTGTGGATTTGAATTTGAAAACAAAGGGGAAATTGAGTGACTTAATTGACAAAAATTAAAAATCATCATGCCAAAATGAAAATAAATTTAAGTTGAACAACTCTTTTTTTTTTTTTTGGAACAGAAAAAAAAAAAAAAAAGAGTTGCTCAACTTAAGTTGAGTAACTCATGGTGTCTTCTGACCATAGGAACATTCAAAATTTGAAACTAGGCAACCTTTCTGGAAATTAATATCATACCAAATGATGATAACACATACATACAAAAGAAACAAACTCCCTCTCCTTTTGTGTTTGCAACATGATATGGGGCCAACCAAATGGCATTGGACCATATTAGAAAAAACAAATGCAAAATAACTTAATTTAGGGTTCTCCCCTTTGCTTGCGACTTAATCAATAATGATAAGAACTTGGGTATCATGGTGGTGTGCCCAGCTGTCTAGAGTTACCCATATACAATACTGTAACACTCCCAAGCTACACCCCCCGTCCCCCCACGAACATCATAATCACATACATTAATGTCAAAATTTTCCACCGCAACAAGATTCAATCTTCATGAGTTTTATATATGATTTGAGAAAATTTAGATCAAAGGGTAAGGGTTTGTTTTTTTTAGGAAATTTCAAATTGCTTGCTTTATCCTTAAACAAAGTAGTGACCAGCTGCAATGAACCGATAACTTCTTTTCTATCATCAAGTGATGTAGAAATTCCTTAAATGACAACAGACATGGGCAAACCTTCAAAATGTAGTGTGATATGACACATTGAGGTTGGGTAGTGGTGTAGGCATAGGAATATATAGAATTAGAAGTACTTTTGGGTCCACTGCTATATGTATTAACTTAGTTTGGGGGTCTCTTTTTAGCTAGCTTGAACCCCACCTAAGCACTAGGCCACATCCCATTTTTGGGGCAAAGAAAAAAATTTTGAATTGACATAACAACCAAAGGTGATCAAATTGAATCCATTACCCCAATATTTCCCAAATTTCAATTCCATGTGTTGGTTACGAATAGAGGTGTCTACTTTCATCCAGAAATCTTAATAACTAAAGTAAGAAATTAATATAGTTATTCAGATAATAAAACAAAAATTATTGAATGAAAGAAAGTTTTTAATATCAAAAAATATATTTTTTATTAAATAATTAATGTTATAAAATCTAAATTACATAATATTTTTTTATTAATATATAAGTTATTTTAAAAGTTACATGATGTATAAATAATTTTAAGGTTAAGATTATTTACTTAAAAAAAATTTAAGTTTAAATTTTTTACCACTTCATAAATCTAGACCTAAAAAAAAATTAATTTTTTTATAACAATCTCAAAACTTAAATAATAGATTTAATTTATAAAATAATGATTACTTAAAAAAAACTTAACCCTTAAAATTAATTTAAAATATGCATTAAACTATTTAGCGACTAGGACTTCGTGCTAAAATGCTAATCTCTAATTTATATTGAAAGAAGATTTTTACTAGCCACCTAGATGGTTGCCCTTTTGTTTCTCTTTCTTGAGAAGTATGGTATTTAATTAGACACAAAAAGCTACAACTTGGATTAGGTTTTGGTCACCTAACCCACTCTTCTTTATTGACTTTGAATTGATCCTGGTTAATACGGCAGCAAGAAAATAAGTAACGATCGATGGGTCAACAATGGCTCCTCCATCTTCCCCCCAGCTCAATTCAATTTTAAAAGCCTTAATGGTTTACATCACAAAGAGATCTTCTTTTTGACTTTGGAATACAATATAGAAGCTCATATTCTGCGACGTTTCTTTGCCCTTTCTATACATTAATTTTCTTGTGGTTGTGGGACAGAAAATAATCATGCCAAGAAAAAATACTTCCCTGTCAGACTTGATCAACCTTTAATTAAAGGAGTTGAATGTAGCAAGTCCGCCATTATTTCTTTGCAAAACAAATAAAAAGATTCTTTTCTTCTCCTTCTACCTGTCATTGATTTCCAAATCCCTGGTGATTTCTCCTAAAACACCCAAATTTGCTGATTTTTCGACTTCCTAATTTTCAGTTCACTAAAGTAGGAAATTTCTTTCTCCACAATGTAACATTGTTTCAACGCATGGATGGTAGCGGCGGGCGGCACTTCAGAGGAGGGATGGACATAGGTCACCTAACAGGTGAAATTATAATGGTGAAAAACGAATGGAGTAGTTTGGTAGAAATTATAAATGCATTGGAGGATATGAGGTAGTCAGGGAATGGGATGCCTGTTCAAAATAAATACCACGTACTACGGCCAAAGAAGAATTCCATTTCTTGTATTTCAGGTCATGAATATTTTCGAAGTGTATTTTGAACTTGCACCTCCGTTAGAAAAAAAAAAAGCATAAAATATGAGTGTGGTGTTTTAAACATCAGCTATTAAATTAAGGGATTGTTTTTTTTAGTTATAAATTTTTTAATTTAGTAATTAATATTTTGTAATTAATATAATTTAAATAATAAAATAAGTTATTTAATTTGTACATTTAAAATGAATTTATTATATATTTTTATTATTAATTTATATAAAAATAAATAAAAATTGACATTTAAGTGTATTAACTATTTAATTAAAATATTTCACATAATATTAATATGAAAATAAAATTTACTTATATAATTTTACATATAAATTAATAATAAAAAATATAAAAAATATATTTTTAATATTTATATTTAGGACACACATTAAATAAATCCTTTAATAAAATATTGTGTTGGATTCCCAGCCATTTCCCAATAAAATAGAAGAGGACATTATGCACTGAATTGAAGCTTTTTGTTGAGAAAACAATATTAACATCTTTTTCTTGATCACATTTTTCTTGATCACACCGTCAGAGCCATATCAAGAAGCAATTTTATTCGTATGTTTCTTGGGATAACAATTGAACTTGAAAATTATGTCTTACTAAAAAATTACACAAGCAAGGGTTTTGCTTCATTTTTAATTAGTTTATATAATTTATAAATTTTTTTACTCTTCAATTCAATAATGTAAGCTACATTACTGTTTTTAACTATTCTTTTAACTATTGATTCTTCATTTTGGAATGTATATAGATATAATTTTTAATTTGACCATGTTTTTCAAGTACATTGGCTTGTACCAGCTTCCAAAAAGAACTTAGTGGACCGAGCCCTACCTCCATTTCTAGATCAACAAATGAAAATGTTCGTATCTATTTGTAAATAAATATAGTTTTATAATTTAGATTTAAGTTATCTATTTATAAATAAATATCATTTTATAATTTAAGTTTAAGTCTTAGGGTAAATATTTTAAAAAATTAATTCTTTAAATACAATAAATCAATGTAAAGGTGTATCTTTAAAATCGATTAAGAAAAAATTAATTTCAAAACATATACAAAGTGACTTAAGTATGCCCTAACTATTAAAAAAACCATTAAGAATATATTATGGGTGTTCTGTTTTATAATACAGATTGTTCAATATTATAAAATAAGAACAATTTGATAGGAGAACACTTTTAATATTAAGAGTTTTTTCTATCAAACAATTAGTATTTTACAGTTTAAAATAATTTAAATTATAAAATTCTTTTTTGATAAATTATAATAGTACCATTTTAAAGAGTATCAGGGCATGAAACTAAAAGCGAATGAGAATGGTGTTCGTAATTACTACCTTTTAAAAATTAGGACCCAAAACTAATTTTTAGAACGTATGATTTCGAAACAATTTTCCAAAATATATACCATAGGATTAATGTTTATATGTCTTGCTTCCTAAAAATAAAGAAGAAAATTATTTTAAAATTACATGGTTTTAATAAAATACTACAGGAAATGACAAAAAACACTCTAGATCATGTTTTAAAAATAAAGTATTTTAATTTTTTTAATAAAAATTTATTAAAAAAATAATTTTAAGATAATTTTCTTTTTAATCTTTAAAAAATGAAACGAACAGACATTATTACTATACAGACCTCTATATAATTCTGTGTCGCCGAATTAATGCCAACACATAGCCCACTTCTGAAGCTTCGTTCTGGGCTGGGCTTCTCTTGTTTCTTCACAGTTCTTTGGAATTGTCTTGTTTAATGGGCCTGCCCATGAAAACAAAACCCCGAATGAATAGATCATATAGTTGCAAACCGAAACATAAATGCCTCTGGGCCCTCCGATACCCAGAAACATGGCATAACCAAAACCCATTGGAGATGGTCTGTTTGATGTTTCCGGCATTTTGTTGTGGAGGCAAAATTTTCCAGACCAAGACTGAGGTGATTTTTGTGGAATTAGTATTTCTACTCATAAAGGAAGCAAAAAGATGTATCAACCATTCTGGATGCTTGCAACAATCCAATATGAAAAGTTAATGATTTATCAAAATTATGCAAAGTTATTTACCTGGTCAACAATTAATCCGATGCGAGTCTGAGAAGAAAAGCTAAGGATATTAACCAGAATTCTCAGTATAATCTCTTGACAAGGGCTTAATTCAATTTTTAGTCTATTAACTATCACCTTGATTTCATTTTAGTCTAAAAACTATGTTTTATTTCTAAGTGATCTATTAACTTTTATATTCATTTCAATTTCGTCTACTTAGTCAAAAATAACGGAAAACTTCCTATTTTGTTATAGAACAGTTAGGCTTTTGACTATATTTTTTTTTATCTTTTAGTCCTTAAATTTATATTTGTTATAAAAATAACTTTTTTACTTAAAATTATTATTTATAGGCTTTGTTATACCAAATTTTTATACGGGTTTTCCTATTTCTTTAATTTGGTATCAAAGCCTGAAAGTTAATAAACTACTTAAAAATAATAATTTTAAGTATAAAAATATGATATCAAAGCCTATAAATAATAATTTTAAGTAAAAAAGTTATTTTTATAACAAATATAAATTTAAGGACTAAAAGATCAAAAAAGTATAGTCAGAGGACTAACTGTTCTCTAACAAAATAGGAAATTTTCCGTTATCTTTGACCAAGTAGACGAAATTGAAATGAATCTGAAAGTTAATAGACCACTTAGAAATAAAACATAGTTTTTAGACTAAAATGAAATCAAAGTGATAGTTAATAGATTAAAAATTAAATTAAGCCCTTGACAAGGAATGTTATATAGTTCTACAAGATGTTTTGATGGACATATATATATAGATAATATAATATAACAATTAAATTTTGTGAGGAAAAAAATGATAATTTGCACACTCCCTAATTTTCCAAGTTGGGATTTGTTGTTGGTAAAGGGGTAAAATTCACAAACAAGTTCAAAGGCGCTTGGGTTGATGGTGAGTACCGGCATAAAACCCTTCTGTGTATGCTATGTTCTTGAAAATTGTCTGCAATGATGGAAAGCAACATGGTTAGTACAATTTGAAATGAAAATAAATCTTACAACAGTGTGGTTCCAGTGGAACAACACCCTTAGACTACAATGGTAAATAAGAGAGGAAATTGTTAAGCAATATCATGTTATACTTACAGCCAGATTTCTTAAATCTGAGGTAAGATGTTTTCTGATACTGTTTCCCAGCACATCTCCAAGTTTTTCCCCGTGTTGCTTGATGGAGTCCTCAGTGATCTGAATTGATTTCTCAAGTGTTAACCCAAAATATACCTTGATGGTTGAGATGAAAGAAAAGAATAATAGTTGGCTCACCTCTGAAAGGAACAAAGTAGATGTTTTCTCCAGAATCTCATCCACAAATTTCTCAATGTCTGCAGAACGAAGTGATGATTTTGCAACATTTGCTGGCTGAACCTTTACATTTTTACTGGTACTGGATGGCTTATCGGCTTTTGCTACATCACAAGAGTAAAACAGTCATATTTAGGGGTTGTGATTATAGAAACAATATTCCATGTCGCTCCCATCAATTACAATCAAGAAGCTGACTGACACAGAAACACCACCTGTAATTCTAATATGGAAAGGACAACCAGCTACCTCCATGGATTCACCAGCTAAAGATACTTTGTAGTTTTGTTCTAATCAAACAGAAGAACAAGAAAACTACAAAAAATTATTTTAAGGGTGTTCATTTCTAAACATGGTAGCAACCACTTCAATAAAATGAAGCAGAGAATGAACTGAAATTTTTTTCCATGGTGGGATAGAAAAACATGTTATATGCAAGTTTGGCAAAAAAAAAGAAAAAAAGAAAAAAGAGTCTGGAATTTTATAGTTTTGAAATCACACAGAGAGGCATTTTTTGAATAAAATTACCTTTCACCGCCATGGACTTGCCATCTGCAGATACTGCACTAACTTGATTTCCAGCTAAAGTTTGTGAAGAAGATTCATTTTCTTGAGGATCTGGCAGGACCATTGAAGTTGATGGTACAAAAGCAGCCAAATCACCAGGTTGATCCTTCCCAACCTGTGGGTTAGCCTAGAAGAAAGGAAATGCTATTTGGTAAATAATATAACGAATTATAAGGTGAAATCAGAAAGAAAGCAAAAACAAAAAATCACCTCCAGGTCTACATATATGGGTTCTTTCTCAATTGATTTAAGAAACTTGTCAAGGCCATGAGTGTTCAGAGCTGGAAACAACATTTAATGCATCAGGAGATAACTAATAGGCTTAAATTAAATCACTAAAAGAGCTCCTTAAAGCTTTTCTACTTAAAATTCCCACAATTTCTAAAATAAAATATTGGTCTAAGAGGAGAATAATTCTAAAAACAAATAAGTTTTAGTGAAGAAAACATTTAACACAAAAATTTTCATTAAAAAAATATCTAAATAATGAAAGCAACAATCACAACTCAGATGGGTGATACAAAGAAAATGATAGTGAACTAAGAAGCAAACAATAGCTTTTGTTAGCAAGAAAGGAAAAAAAAAAAAAAAAGGGTCAAAGTCACAGCTGTTAATTTCCAATATAAAACAAACAAGATTAAAGTTTATGATATTATTGCACCAAAAAGTTAAAACCAATAAAATTGACAAGATTCAACCTAGTAATGGATGGAAACAGCTATGTACGATATCAGGAACTGGATTGGAATGTAACTGACAAAACCATGATATACAAGAGAAAGATTCTAACTTACAGATTGACATGTCATTGGACAGAGGATGGAAAAAGCAACAGTCCTGAGTTTTGAATCCTTGATCCAACAATAGCGAGACATTTCTTCACAAAAAGAAATGGAAAATAAAATAGATATCCAAGATGCATAAAAACAGACAGAAAAAGCAGTAAAAAAAGATGGAAAAAAAGCAGACATGTCTTCCATCCATAATATATCACCCAAGTCAACAATTAGATCTGAGAAAATAATACTACATTCATTATGGTAATGGCTAACTGAAAGTTAAGTAAAATTCAGAGTCTAGAGTAAATGAGAACTAATGCATACCGTGCTGTCTCATTTACAAGTGCAAATGGAGTAACACATCCCGGTGGCACCTTGAAAAGCAGAAAAGAAATAAATAAAATAACATGGTGAATGATAGCCATATCTCTGATATTGTCCATAACCATAACTGTACAGAATCAAACAACATGGCTAAGTTGTTTACTTAATTTAAGAGATAAAAATAAAAAAGAGGATAAAATCCTATTCTAAAAAGGTGATTGCACAAATTTTAAGGACTATATTGTACGCTAGAAAGGAAATAGAAAATCATTAAATTCCAGTTAAAATAAAAAGAGCTAAATCAAGTGGCCCGGCCAAAAAGATGTTATTTGGATTTTGAATTTACAAAAACAGGAGCAGGATCAGAATTGTACGGTAAATCCTATAACCAACTATCCGTTAATTTCAAGTGATTCTACCACACACAAATTTTAATTTGCATACACTCACCTGAAGTATCTCACCTAATGTGTTATCTGGGGCCATTCTTAGACCTCCCTTTCCCACACCAAGCCTCAGTGCTAAAACTGCTCAGTTTAGAAGGCACATAGAACTCTCATAAACATCCACGAAATTCACCAACAAATTAAATCATACTGAAGTTCCATAATATATCTCCTGATACAAAAGCATAAGGTAAAAAGTTTGTACCTTTCAAATCTACTTTGGTATGTGGAAGAGCAGAAACAATATAGTACCTATGTTTCTTATCCTGCATATATCACCATGAGCAATAAATCGCCAAGACAGGAATAGATACAAGAACAAAAATACTACATTGCAATTGCACACAAATAAAAATAATTTTTTCATACCTTCAACAACAGATTTTTAGTAAGTGCACCTCCTTTATTCCCAACATATTTTGCCTGATTGAGAACAAGTATTCTAGCTTCAGAATTTGTGAATACAGGTGTGTGACTGTGGAAAAGGAAATTATGAAACTAATTCAGCATTATTCATCTATTCTTGTACCTGCTCTTCTACTGTCATAACGACAGGATGTTCATATTTAGAAAATTCTATTTGAAGCTCCTGCAAGATCCCAATATATAGATTATTCACCCAAAAAAAATAAAAAAGTTATGATTTATCAACTATAGAACAGACTTATACAGTGATGCAAGTAAAATTCAGCCGTCAAGCGGAAAGATATTAACAATCCAATTCACTTCTAATATACCATACAAAAGCTACGAAAACCGAATTGAAGGCGGCGAAGAAGAACATCTAATTGAGATTGGAGCTAAACATTTAATGAAAACCAGAAAAGGAAAGTGAAACAACCTGCAGACGCGCAAGCAGCTGTTCCTTTGAATAGGCCATTGTGCTGGTCGGTCTATGCTTCGACGTCGGAGCAGGGAGGAGGAAAGTAGAAATCGGCGGTAGGTTTGAGACTGCGGCGGATGAGCGAAGTGTTGGTGTTGGATTTGGTGTCTGAGAGTCAGTGGGGGTGCATTGGGCTCAAACTTTGGTGGGCTCTGGCGGGACCTTCTGTTTGAGCTACTCTCGTGGGCTTTTTAAACAAGCAAGCTCTAGCCCATAAAAGTAATATCCCTTTTTTTTTTTTTTTGATATCCCACAAAAATAGATTACAGTAAGAGTCCTATGCTTTCCTAATCAGAATTCAAAATATAAACACTAGAATGAGAGCTATAGATTTGTTTTCATTTAATGATTTAAGTTATACAATTTAAATTGTATAATGTTTTTTTTTTATTATAATAATTAATAAATAAGTTAAACGAAAACTCTAAAATTACTTATTATGATTTTGCTTTTTTGTGATATATACAATCCCGCATAGAAGTCATGTTCATACTTAATAGTTGTGTCTTAATAAGTCCAAAACCATATCATTGAAATCATGACCAATGTTGGATCTAACTTGCATAATAAGTTGCAAATAGCAATGATTCTTCCTCTTTTACATTAGTTCAAGAAGACAAACAAGTGGCGTCCACATGAAGAACCATGTATGAATTCAGCTGGCCCATTTGGCATAGTCTCGCACCCGAAACCTTCCATGGTTTCACACATTTCACGCATGATATATGCTTGATTTCTCCATAATAACGCATTTGATTCCAAATTTACAAGAGGCAGCAGATAAATTTTAGCATCTATAGTTATATAGTGATAAGAAAATATGTGCAAGTTACACCTTACCACATAAAGGTAAGGCAAATTACATCTATAGTTATATAGTGATAAGAATCACAAATTTTGTTATCACATGATGTGTTGTGAATTCAAACATCAAAGATGACCAAAAAAAATTTTTATAAAAAAAAAAAAAAACACACAAACATAAAGAAATTGGAGATGTCATGTGGTTGCAAAGTTAGAGAAGGAAACTTTATGGGGTCTGGTGGGACCATAATCTTAAAAGAGGCCCACTACAGGTATGCCCACGGGGCCACCATCCATACCCTGTAAACTTTAAACCATGGGACCGTACCCAATTCAATGCAAAAGAAACAGCCGGGAATGTGAGTTTCTGACCGCATCCGCTCCTTCGCACAACACAAGACAGCTCATGTGCACTCTTTCGGCCTTCTACGATGGAGGGATTCCTTTGATACTTAATAGTAAATCCATCAAAATTCTGTTTATTTTCTTAAAAACATGTACAACTAATTAATTAATTAAAAAAATTAAGACATTATGATATTTTTAATGTTAGTACATATAATTATAATTGTAGAGGATAATATAAACTTTTACAATTATTATTAAGGATTTGTTTAATTTACATTTTTATAATACATGTTAAGAATGTAATTAATATATATTTTTATATTAATTAGTATAAAAAATAAAAAAATTAATATTAATTTTATCACTAATATTATATATTGTTTTAATTAAATGATTGACTAAAAAATATTAAATTTTATTTTTTCAATAACAAATAATGTTGAAAAATGTTCTTAATCTATACTCTTAAAACACATTAAAATAACCCTATTATTTTACTTATTGATATTTTTAATATAAAAACATTCAATTTTTTTTTCTTTTCTCATTAATTAATTGACTTGATGATTAAATTCTTCGTGAATTACATAGTTCCGCGTGGATGACCTGCAACAAGGAAAGTGATGGAAATTGAAAGAGATGAATCATTCACCAACGACATTCAAATCTAAAATTAGATTGAGATGTTGGTAACTCGGTATTCAACCATCTTCTGAAAGTTTTCTTTATACGATAAAACACTCAACTACAATCCGCAGAAACAGTTTCGAGTTTCAAATCCTCTGCATTTTGTTCCCCGGTGGGTTGCTTCTCCGACACCTTACCACACTCTTCAATGACACATGAGAAGTGGATCTATGTTAAAACCTCAAACTCAAAACCCTAGCTACCTAGAAATTAAATGTAAGAAAAAAAAAATTTTTTTTTAAAGGAAGTGTGGAACCTTTTAAGTCCAAATTATATAATAGTATTTCCAAGAAGAATTAACAATACAGCATATAGTTTAAATCAAATACACTTTTTTTTTTTTTTGCATAATGAGTACATATAAATATAACTCAATCTATAGAACCCTACTTGAGATAAGGCAAAAAATTGTTTCATCTTCATGTGGGTATTTTTTTTCCCCTCTCCTACAACCTCCTACAACTAAACAAGCTGAAATATTATCAATCTAATTATTGTCAGTAATGAAGATCCAAAAAAACAAATATGAATGGACAAATTGACCATTTGTATACTCTTGATCTTGGAATATGAATATGAATTTGGTTTTTGGCTAGCAGAAACTCCACAGACGAATGTCACCTTCTTCATAAAAATCATCCATCATCATCAGTGGTGCAGGGGGATCAAATAATGAGGGATAGTTAAAAATCATGTGATCTACATATTTGGGAGACAGCGGGCTTTCGAAGCCAGCGCTGCAGTACCATGGTTCCATCATGGGGGGTTCGTTGTAGGTCCCGAGAGACTCCATTAGTGAAATTACATCATCGTCCACTTGATGATCAGATGGAGAAGAGGATGACAATGATGGAGATGAGACTACTGAGGAGGATGAGGAAGAAGGAGAAGGAGCTGGTGGTGAAGTTATTGGTGTAGTGGTGGTAGTGGTGGTGGTGGCGATGCAATTGTCAGTGAAACTGTTGGCCGCTGCTGCAGCTACTCTTTGTATTGACTTGGGAGACATAATGGTATCGGGAATATAATGCGAATAAGATGAAATGGGGAAGTTGAGATTTGCAGAGGAACCTTTGAGGCATAGGAGTGCAGCATCATAGGCTCTGGCAGCTGCTTCTGGAGTAGAATATGACCCTAACCATATTCTTGTTTTCTGATTTGGAGCCCTAATCTCTGTCACCCATGACCCCCAACTCCTCATCCTCACTCCCTTGTACTTCTTCTTGAATGTTGTTGACGATGATTGCATTTCCTTTGATGTCTCTGATTGGATCTTCTTCTGCTCAGACTTCACCATTATTGATGCTTTGCCCTCACAAGCGATTAATGGTAATACTCTGCAAAGATATATCAATCAATCAATGTTTTTCTGGAGAAGGCTGAACTAAGGTGCTTTCTTTTTGGTTAATTGTTTTGAAGATAGAGCTGAATATGTGAGTTAGGGAGGAAGATGAAGTTTGGTATATATAGAGATGGGGCCATTGGGGGAAGGAAGGAAGGATCCTTCAGTTAAGTAAAAACATATTGGGTTACAGATATTCCCTACTATATATTAAATTTATAGATGGAAAATGGGTAGATGTTTCTTTCTTCCATTTTAAAATGAAGAAATTTTCCAAAGTAAAACCTGTCTAGTTTTAATAATCAATACACTTTCCACCAAAAAAGTTGAAGGAAAAAAAATGAAAAAAACTACCATTTGAAAGAGACTGATTCAAGAATTAGTCTCAAGCTCAAGATTATTATAATTATATACTATGTACTCCATTATGGGTAGAAATTTCTTCATTAACTAGTCATCTACTATACACATTTACAAATGTAAGAAAACATCATGTGAATTTAAAGTTATTAGAAGTTGGAATTGAAATTAATAAGACTTTGGAGACATGTTGAAAGTCCTTGGTGAGGGTATTTTTTCCAGAGGAAGTCTCCGTGGGGAAAAAGGCATGATTCAATCTTTGCAGTCTGGAAACCGACATGGCACACATGAGCACCAATATATCAAAGACCATCAAATATAAATCTTAATAAATTTATCAAAAAAAAAATTCTTAATAAAGTTAATCCCTTCTCCCAGAGTTTCTTCTCACTTACCTAACATGTTCCCCCCTTTCTACACAATTTTCCTGAAATAATAATCAATTATATATAATAAATATATACAAGGACAATTTTGAAACTCTGCTTCCTCTGTATACTGGATACTCATATCATGTAATACAGTAATAAAGAGAGACAACAGATTCGATTCACTCCATAGGCAAGTTCCAGGATGATCACCTCCTGATGTCTGACATATGCTTGTATTTTTTTCAAAAATTAAAAATGGTACTAGTGACAAATATTTAGAAGGGATTGCTAATGAAATGATGAATGCTTATGTAAGAACGCAAAACCAGCTGTTGCTGCTCTGTCTCGCATCGCAGCTAAAAACCGCGTTTTATGTCATGTCAGGGCATGGCATATTCTTCTTTTCTGCAACTGAAAAAGATTGCACACGCACGCATACTGTGCTGATCTACCAAGTTAGACAAACATTAAATTAATTCACGAGGTGAACCGTCTTTTTGACGTTTGGTTATCTGCTTATGCCTGCTCGATTTGACTTTGTTCCCCAGGAAAGTCTACTGTACAGAGGCCTTTGAGTACGATCAGCACTGTTCATAACTCGAAACTCTAGATTTATCCCATTGTTTGGTTTTGACCAATTATGTCCCGAGGGGATTCTCTTGATGGTGACAAAAAATTATTTGAGGTAAGTAACAAAAAAAAAAAATATATATAATAATATAATAATTTATATCTTAAATATTATTAAAATATTAAATATATTTATTAAGAACATATTTGAGGTAAGTAATTTTTAAATTTTTTTAATAAAAATTTAAATTTATAATTCATAAATAATATTAAAATAAATATAAACTCAAAAAATTACATCAAACGTACTTAAATAAGTCATAACCTGACGTGGGATACGAGCAGTTTCGGTTTTACTTTAACGTGCCTTTGGCACATGCCCTATTTAGTTTTTACTTTGTAGGGACAGGTGACCCGTTCTACATTGGGTCGTATTCGTACGACCTTATACGTAGTTTCAAACATGGTAAGGCAACTCTTCAAAAAAAAAAATAATATTAAATTTGTTTTATAGGTAGTTTTAATAAAATTAATGGTAATCACAATCATAATCAGCAGTTACATCCACATCTAAATTTGTTAAAATTACATAAATTATTAAATTGTTGTCTTAATTAATAATTAATGAAAATAATTAATAACTGATAAAATATTTAATGTTTATTATTTAATAACTTTAAATTAGTTTATAATCAAATATTTTAAAATATCATAATTAATTATTTAAAAAACTATAAATCAATAAAATAATAATTAAAATTTGTAAGCATTTGGGTCTAATGACCTGATGACTTTAAACCTTCTTGAAAGTGCATCTCTCAGTCTTTAGGTTGGGACAGAACCCCCACCCCTCATTTGTACTCCGTTCAAAAAAAAAAAATTAAAATTTGTAATTATATAATCTAATAAAGATGCTTGTGACCATAACCACAACCCAGGAAAATAAGCAGCATGAAAATTGCAGTCTCTTTTTTTTTTTTTTAAGAAAAATTTTTTTTTTCCAACACATACCTGTTGCCATTGTCTGGCAGTCATCGCATTGTGTTAAAATAGAGTAATGATAAGGTAAACGAAAGTTTAAAATAAAAATTTTAAATTAATAATATGATTTATGTCACATTATTAAATTAATTAATGTATAAAATATTATTAATTAAAATAATGTTAGACACAACCTTAATTTCTCCATCAAAATTTCTGTTTCAGTCAAAAGACTCAAAAGTTAAAATCAAATCAGATTTAGAAAATATTACCTTTAAAATACATTTATAAAAGCTGGACTCAATAGTTTTTGACATATTGTTGGGTAGGGACAAACAAATTAAAAATGAATTTTAGTGATAGGCATTGGATTGCTTAATTTAAGGCTTTTTATTTTATTTTTTATGATTCAGTGGAAGTAGTTACATCTTGAATCAACTATTTTCCTAGGGCTGTTATCAACTTTTAACTTGAGACAACTTCCAATTAATTTTTTTGAGAAAATAAGGCACATGTTATTAACTATTTAACATGGTAGGTGTTTGAACCTTAAAATATATATAATTTTAATTCACAACTAATAGATACTATCAATGATTTAGGTACATAATTTAGTGATAATATTTTTAATAAAAATAATAAATTTTAAGTTTTTATTGCATTTTATATGGATATAGTAAGTTAAAAGATTATAGGGAGGAATATGCATGTCTCTTTCTTTTCTTTTCTTTTCTTTTTTTCTTTTTTTTTTTAAGGTAAAAACAGAGTATATTCTAAATCAATCACACGAATTATTGAGGTAGTAATGTACCATGTATCATCAGAGGCTGGTTAATTAAAGCACTCATCCAAACATTTTTTAAGTCCTCCTCACATGTTGAGAACATCTCCTATCTTTTCTTTAATTTTAAACCTGACAGAATTTTTGGAATGAAAGAGGGGCTTTGTTTCTTGGAAATTCACAAGGAAGTTTCATTTTCAAAATGCCACTTGTTTATGGGAATCGTCATTTCTTTCTTACCTCCCAAACACGCCGTACACATACCCCTTGGAATTTCAAATTACCCTTTCTTTTTTACTTTACCTTTGTCAATGGTTTTTGGGTAGTGTCATTGAAAATATTGATAGCACGTGCTGTGAATCTCAAAATTAACAAAAGAAAAATAATGTATTATTTTATAGATTAAACTGTTTCATATTGTTTTTCTTTTTTTAAATAAACTTATAAGGGATTAGATTCAAACTGTTGTGTAGGAGAGAAGAATGCACTTTATAGGTGGCCTGAGGTCATGGGACAAATGCTCAAGTGCAACTGTTTCATATTGTT